AACGGGATCGGCACCGGGGGAGGGACGGGATCGGCACCGAGGGAGGGACGGGATCGGCACCGGGGGAGGGACGGGATCGGCACGCCTGGACAGGATTGTCACAGCGACACGGCGCTGCTGGCTCCCCTCTGCTCCGAACACGGCGTGCTGCCAGCCACCACTTTGTTTCTGCCCTTAGAGAAGGTGGACTGTATTTTATAGCAAAACTGGAAATTAATTTCTAGCTTAAAATAGCAGCTCCGTTAAGTAGCAAACGGGTTATTATTAACTTAGTGCTTGTTCAATATTTCCAGTTTGGACAGAATTTCTTAAGAGCTACGTTCAGAGTTGGCTGAGATGATGTGCTTCCCTTTGTCAGATCTGCCTGCAGTCCTCTGGCAGTTTCCTGAGTGTGGAGCTCATATGAGCAGTCCCTGCGGAATTTAGTCCATTTGTATACTTGGAAGGACATATGTGCATAGTTGCTTTATGGAATTCGTGCCTAAACCTACTCCTAATAAATGTGGAGTGTTGATTAGGTCCTGTTTTCGACGGGACCTTTAGAATCAAACCAATGTGATTAAGTCTCAGTGCTCGTTTAACAGTGGTGTGCTGATCAGTGTGAAAAGGGGAGTGACTGTGTACCTAAACTGGATGTCAAACAGATGAAAAGTTAGTTAATATGGGGCAGGATTAAATTATTAGCAAGTGGAAGTCTTGCATCTTGCCCTAAAACAGAGGACTGTATGTTCTAAAGAGATGTGCACACTTTAATGCTCCTCTATGGGGAGCTCTGAAAGCTCAGTGCCATCCCTTGTCTCTGGACTGCCATGTGACTTTTCTCCATTTACCAGTTTTTAAATTGCCCCCATAATTTTTTTTCATCAGCTTACTTGAAGCAAGTGAGTTGGAATTGTATCCAGGAGCAAACTTTGAAATTCTTTGGCCAAAATTTTTTTTTATCTGTAGGGGCAGATGCTACTGTTACCGAAGCTGTGTTTCTGGTTATGTACTTTGTTCGGTAATTTGGAAGACTTAGCGTTAGTATCATTACTTACAGAATTGAGTAACTTTTCATTTCAAGACAGAACAGCAGCAGGATTTGAAATGTTTGAGTTTGGCAAGAAAAGGCTTGTCTGTAAAACAATGAAATTGCGTTGGGGAAATACAGTGCCTCTGTTCAGCTGGGGCAGGCTGAGGTACACTGCAAGCTGTTGTGAGCTGCAGCTGCATTTACCATCAAACACTGAGCTGGTGCCGATGAATGTTTTGTTTTTAGTGTCATGGAAACTGTGAGCCAAAGAATGGATATTCTATTCATCTGGGAAAATAGCAGTTCACTGCATAAAACATCAGTTGCTTCCAAAGCAGTTCTTAAAATAGACTTTGTGAATATAACCCTAGAAGTAAAAGTGCAGCAATTTAAATGACCTCAGTACTACTTTGGTTTTTTAAATTAGGATATATGTGTGAATGAAATAAACACAGAGGAAGTGAAAGTTTCAAGATACAACTGTGGCATGGAACTCCTACAATGATTCTGTGTTTTACTTTACTATGGAATTTTAATTTAAAGAAATGGAGAAACCCAGATATTTCAATATCAGTCTTAATCCTTTTTACAATTCTTCTTCAAATGGCTTGCTCAAAGGATAGTTTTGATCATCGTTCAGTACCATTTACTGTTTTGTACAGCAGAGTGCAAATCAGAAACTCATTGCAGAGTCCGGATATCCAAGAGAGTGCTCTCATGGGCAAAGAAGGAAAGAGGTATGGAACAGCGGTGTGTGGGTTTTTAGATGCATGAGCATTTTTGCAGAGCCAGTATGTAACGAATAATTAAGGGAATTAATTCAGTTCAATTGGAAAACTTAAACTTATTTTGCTAAATTTTGGTGTTGAAGGAAAAGTAAATGTAACAGGTAAAGAGAAACCAATACAGAAAAATAGATACATGAAGTCATTGCAAAAGGAAGCTGAAGAAATTGGAAGTAATTTAATCTGATGGAAGCTGGGGAGAGAATTGCCAGTTGCAGGATTTCAGAATCGAGGATTCTGGAATGGATGTGATACTAGTTAAAAGAAAGGAACCCTTGCATCCAGTGAAAGCAGTGGGATTCTTCCTGTTTATTGCTCTTTAGCTTAGGGTTGGTTGGGCTGTTGGTGTTTGTGGGCTGGTGAGGTTTTGTTTTGTTTTAATTGGGGGTTTGGAAATTAGGAGCAATATTTTTGATCTGCTGTAAGGCATGCTGAGCAGACGTGGATGGTCACTGCCCTGCCCATGCTGTCTCACCTGCTACTGCCCCTTCCAGACCCCAACCTGTGCTGCTGCAAGGGGCTGCTCCATGCCAGGTGCAGAACTTTGCATTTGTTTTGGTTGAATTTTATGAGGCTCTTGTTGGCCCAATCCCCTAGATTGTTTCTGTTCCTCTGAATGATGGTCCTGCCTTCAAGTATACTAACTGCATCTCTAAAACTGGGGTCTGTGCAAACTCTTTTAGGGTGTGTTCTGTGTTTTCATCCAGGCTGATAAAGATATTAAGCAAGAAATGTTCCATATACACTGTAATAACAGTTAGTAATAACAGACCTATAGATGAAGGGAGAGAGGTCAAAAGATAAATTTTAGTTGAAAAAACTGGATGAGACGTAAAATAGGTTCTTCAGATGCTGAGACTTAGATGAGTTACTCAGATCAGGATCAAGAAAAGTGTTTTATAAGTGTTTATGACTGTTTGATATCAAAAGCTAATATGTAGCTGAAAGCTTACAGCGGAGATAACAGCTAGGTATGAAATCAGAAGTGTCTTTGAAATTAATTCTTGTTTGTGTATAAAAGGCTCCACAACAACATGCAAGCTGCACAGTACCTGTTCTATAGTCCAGAGAGTTGAAGTACAAGCAGGTAAAATAGATAAAAAGATACAAAGCCCATGTGGTTTTACTTTCACTCATTAATACTGTTTAGGCTTAGAAGGAGGATTTTCACTCTGCAATACTTTCAGGTGAGATAACCACATATCCCTAACACCAAGGTGGATATTTGGCCTTTTCCAGCCAACGCCTCAGGAGGTTCCCTGTGGGATGGGATTTGCCAAGGCCAGAATGCCTTTTGCAGAGGTCCTGAGGCAGGCCAACAGGAGAGGTTGGGATAATGGAGGAACCTGGAAAGTTCCTATGGTTTCTACCCTCCTCCTGAAGGGTAAATGCAGTTCCAGGCTGCAGGGCCTTGTCTCAGTCCTGCAGGCATCCTTCTGCACGTGGCTGAATAAGAGGCTGTTTGCTTCCTTAAGTGCAGTTCAGAGCATTCCACTGACTTATCTTCATTTGTTTCAATCTGCCAGCAAGCTCTTAATTTCCAGCAACACATTTAGATTGACAAAATAAAAAAGAAGAAAAAAAGAAAAAAAAAAGGCAGAAAACACTAAATTTAGGGGCAAGGTTTGAGTCATATTGATGCTTCCAGTTGCATTTAAAACATTATCTGGAGCCTTTCACTCCCTTAATGCATTATTATTTTAATAGAGTAACAAGGTTATTCCTTTAATTCTTTCAAAATGTATCCATTTATTGTCAATCAGGTTATCAATGCACATAGCTTACAAAACTCAGGTACATTGATAGTGTACTGTGCCACCTCACAGTGAGAAAAACACACCTTTCCCAAAAAATCAGATTTAAGAGCATTACCATTAGCCTACTAATCCATTATTAATAAAATTCCATTTTAGTGATGTCATTATTTATGATTTGATATCAGAGGAATAAATTCTTTGTATAATCTTATTGACTTATTTTAAATATTGTACAAAATGAGCTTTCTTTTAAAGATCTTGCACTTTATGAATACTCTAAGACTTAGTAAAAACTAGCCTTAATGTCTGAGAGAACCCCTTGGTTTATATATATTTTAAAAATTAAAAAAATCCTTTTGGAGTCAGGTTACCTCGACCTGCTGGTGCAGATGTGCAGAACATTAGCAATTGCTTTTACATTCTCCTTGCTGTTGAAAGTATTTTAACATTCTTATTCATGTCATCATTTATATAAAATAATTATCAATATTGCAATTTTTTTTTTGTTCTTTTTGCATTCCTTTTGTTCTTAACATGCTGAGGAAAAGTGTTTTCCTTACCTGCTTTAGGTCATTTAAAGCCTCTGTAAGGCATGTGTAGCCAAGCATAGAGGTAGTATTTATTGATATATGAAGTTTTAGTCTTTAGTTCATTGAGCAGCTCCCCATGTTCCATGGTGTTCTTAAAGCTGAGAGTTATGATCACCTTGACTATGTGTGGACTTGGGTTATTATCCTTAATGTTTCTTCAGTTGCATTCCCACACCTGTTATGATCTCTTATAAATACTCTGTGACTTAAATCTCCAATATTCATCCTTGAGGGGCAGTGAGGTATTTGTTTTCATAAAAACATGGAGATGTGAGGTGCCTGCAGATGAGGGATGGTTTAGAGAGGTCTGTATGCTTTGAGTGTTTTTTTGGTAGGCAGTTAGAAGTTTGTTCTCAGTGTAGCTCCAATACCAGATTACATTTCTGCAGACAGTGATGTTCTCTTGTGTAGTTATTGTCAGTGGTTCAGGGCTTGAGAAGATTGCTTTCAATTTTTGGACATTTTTCTAAAGTTCTGTACTGTAAATACTGCTTTTGTACTAAAATAAGAACACCTGTTTTAAGCTCTTACCTTTTTTAAGTAATCTGCATTAATCTAGACTGTCTAATTCTTTATGGGATTTTGTTTCACATTCTTTTGGCTTGATGTGCCTTCATATAATGCATGTGAGCAGTCAGGAGTTTCCAGCCCCTAACCAGGAGATGGCTCTTTGCAGGTACCCTCTCCTGAGGATTTCCCCTCCTGTTTTAACAGCTAACTTGATTATTCTGTGGTACCTATGGGAATTGTTTCTAGAAGAAGTAATACTCAGAAAACAGTTAACATGTTGTTTTGTCTTCCAAAAGGTGTTTTAACATCTAATGTGTGTTTGGGGTTTGGTTTTCTATGTTGTTTTTCTGTGTTGTTTGATACTTTGGGTGGTTTGGCAGGGTTTTTTGTTTGGTTGTAGTTTTTTGTTTGGGGTTGTTTTTTTCTGTTTGTTTTTTTTTCTCTTCCTTTAGTCTAGCAGCTACAACTATTCTGGAGGCAACAGTTTGGCCTGTTTTGTAAACCTCTGTCTCTCCAACTGAGATGTCCGTGAAGGATGAAGTTAGAAAAAGTTATGCAACTCATTCAAATAAAAACCATCAAAAGGGTTGTACAACAGAGGACCATTGTATGCATTTGCCAGTTGCCCTGTGGAAGATGGTTATAAATGTTTGTTGTGTTTGTGCCTGTGTTTATACACAAAATGGGGAAGGGGGAAATCTTTCTTTGTTGACAAGCTGACTTTTCACATTTAATGAGAATTAATAGATCTTGGATAGTAAGAGAAGCTGTAGATACCCGCAAAATATATATATATATATATATATATATGAAGTAATCTAGTAATTTGTAGTAAGTAGTCTCACCAAAATAATCTTTTAATTGGAAACAGGTGTAGCATTTTGTTGTAAATATGGATTCTCTATTCATTTCCAATTAAAAAATCCTCTTGACTTTAGACTTAAGAATGTAATTGATGTTCAAAGTAATTTTTGTCCTTAGATCTGGGACAAATTCCACCAGGAGAGCAAGGGATGCTTTTCAAGTTAACTATAAGTAGGAGCTTGGTTAGTTACTTAAGAACTTGAGCTAAATCCCTTGGGGATGAGGTGGGGAAAATGGCAAAAGGAGAAATATTTTAATTGACAAAGTGAGGACACTTGGATACTCCAGAAAAATATGGAATGGATAGGTGAGGTAAGTAAATGTGTATGACAATGCCACCAGTGGGGAATAGCTGTGTGTTCATATGCAAACTCACTTGGGTTATTGTTTTCTGGATATTCGATATCCCTGATTTCCCTCATTTTTAGTATATTTTAAATCTGTTTCTCACCAGGTGTTCCCTCTGTGTGCAACACACATAATGAGTTAATAGAGTGTTAACATTGTTAATGGTAAGGTTAGCCTGGGGTAGACATAGTAGTGGAGGATTTGAAACTACATGAAACAGCTACTCAGGAATTATTTAGTTTGCAGATACTTGCCCACATATGCTTGGGGGAGGAAGAGAAGAAAGTTCTTTCTTCAGGTTTGTCCTCCCTCTTCCCTCAGTCACTGCTGTGCATTCTTCCTGCCAGCGACTTCAGTGCCTTTTAGCCTTGCAAACATTTGATTTGTTATTCAGCTCAGTGTAAGCCTGCGAAGTGGAAGGACAGGAATAGTACTGAGAAAGGAGCCCTCATGGATCAGCCTCTGTTGGAATAGAAATGTTCTTAGTTTGACATGAGCATATAAATTACAAGTTCATAGGGTCAATCCAAATATAATGTGGAATTTAGTCCACCCTTACCTCCTGTGTATATGAAGTACATAAGAACATTAATAAATTGTTTTTATAGCACAAGATCTGTGCAGTGATCTGCAAACTGACAAAATACTCCATCTTTTCTTAGATGTACTTACAAATCAATGGGATGGAAGTGTCAAAGGCATATCTTTGAGAAGCAGGTTCTTTAATACCTCTTCACACACTGACATTATTTTTTAAAAAAATATTGTGTTAAAGAAGTTGTGAGAAATCCCTTGACTTCTGTGTTTAACATCTTTGTAAATATACTCTGAGATTTATTGCCTGGTTGGTTCAATCAGTAGAATTTTCACAGTGAAAGACATCT